TTCATTCTTAGTTTTGTTATAGAAGTCAAAAGAGAGTGATTGACAGAATCTAAACAGGAAAGTTCACAGGAAGCAGTGAAACGCCATCATAGTCAAGAACATTAAACAATACAGGCTGAAAACGCTTTCCTTAATTTGTAAAGTAAAACGTGCTCTGATTAAATAACAAAAGATCTTCCTTACCTTCAGCTTTTATAACTAAAAGTTTAAAAATGAAAACTGAAAGAAAGCTACTATACCCTCTAGAGTAGAAACACCAACAGATATAGGAATGAGCTCTGGAAAAAGACACAGGGACCTAAAACTGCGCCATGAGAAGCTAATTTTAAAATCTTTAGTTAAGATGTTACCGTCAACTATCTAAAGTTTATCCTTGAATCTAGGAACTTTCTTAAGGTCATTTTTAGTATTTTTACTAAATCTTTTCAGTCACAAATGCCTAGTTGCCACGATAACAAATTTTGATGTATGATAAATTGTACCAGACCTTATTGCGATAACATTGTAGTTTTCAGACCATTTTCAAGTCATATAACAGTAATAGTGGTATAAAAGTTCAAGAACACATTCTCAATGATCAATTAGCTTTAAATACTAATGAACATTTAAATACTGAAATATCCAAAACTGAAATATCCAAAACAAATAAAGAAAAACATGGCACAAAAGCCCACCTGTAGATAAACATATTCGGTGCCAATTGTTTCACTGGAAAAACCAAAATAAGTTTAACACTCTCTCTTTGTTTTCAGTTCTTTTCCCTCATTTTTCCTGCTATTTTTAGTTGTGAAGCATAATGAAAAACCAGAAGAGACACATAATCCCCCACAAACAAAGACCTGCTAATTGGGGTGGCCCCCCCCCCCCTCCCCTTAAAACCTTGATATATACGAATGCGTATCAGTGTTTGTGCGTGTGTAGACTCATTATCTCTGCCAGTTCTGTAGCACAGATCGCAGTTCTTTTTAATTAACCCATGGAGTGTATATTTATCTCACAATCTCATGCCGCTGTGCCGTGCGCCAGTCAGACAGACAAAGGAGGCAAAATATCAAACTCGTCATGCGCGCCGAGAGAAGGCAGCCATCACGACTTAGCTGCAGCGAGTGGAAATAGACGCCACTTACAAATATCCACTTTCACCTCTAATGAGCAGATTTGTGTTTAGTGACTCATCTGAGTCACGCAGCTGTCGGATTACAAACAGCCAGCAAAAAAAAAAAAGAATTAGCCACCGTGTGGAAGCCTGCACTCAAGCTGTGGCATTCCTGCTGTTATTCATTAAATATTTACATAACTCAGCTGGTACAACCTTTACTCTGAAATAATAATCTCCAATATTTATAAGTACATATTTGTTGAGGTGTTTTAAGCCAAGACCTTAATCTTGGATTAGTTTGTTTTTAAATTTAAGGGGAAAAAATTGCATGTTTTTTAAAGTTTGTATGGAAATTAATACCACTGTAGTTCATAAAATCTTTTTTTTTATTATTATTCAGGGCCTGACAACTATTTCCAATTTTTTAAAAAAAATGAGTAGTAGCAGTAGTGAGCCCAGTCCTTGTTTGAGTAGTTAGTTTTCTTTTTTCACTGAACCTGTTTCAGCACTTTTTCTGTACAGTTTCACAAAAGACTTTTTGCTGGGAAAAAATGACTTTATAAATTATTATAATTAAGTGAGTAACTTCTGGCAGCTGCTTATCGTTTACCATGGTGACATAGAAGAGGTGTTAATCTTATCCAGTTTATAGACGAATTATGAAAAAAGCTAATCTAAAAATATATCAATCAGCTTTGTAGACACTTTCTGATCTTTGTCAAAGTTTGAACTGCATTTTGCTCTCAACTATTATCATAACAGCATTCACCTTTGTTTTTACAGCCATACTGTTGAGAGATTTCATGTGACAGAGAGGCGTTTGTAAAGCAAAGAAAAATAAGTCCTTAGTGGACATTTTAAAACTGACATTAAATTCTGCCAGTAGCATTTGTCATAGTCAGTGTAGTTAAAAATCATAACTTGAGCAGAGATCTTGGTGTGCATCTACTAATGAAAGTACACTCTTATTGAGGCTGTGATATTTAAAAAAGACTGCAGACATTTTTGAATCCAGCAGGCTCCTTAAGGGACAGAAATTGAAACCCCAGACAGAGAGAAATAGATCAACTTTTCTGAAATGTGTTTGTACCCTGTTAAAAGTGACAACCTGAATAAACACATTACATGCCTCTGAAGAAAATAGTTTCCTTCTAAACAGCTTTGTACACCTTTTGTACTTCCTGTGCCTTCACTTTAAGCACCTCACTGGAACTGAAAATCACTTATTTTGAGTCCTTTGACGTGGTGTTGGATTTAGTGTGTTCATGGACTGGGGGGGAAAACATTGAAATATTGAGGTCTGAGTTTAGAAAATTCTACTCTAAAATGTAGAAATTTTATTTTGCGGTTTCCTTGCCTTCAAACAGCAAATCCGATCAGTGGGATGCATTTATTTTGTAAAAAAAAACAAAACAAAAAAAAAGTCTGTATACATAATCTTTAGCTTTAACTCATTTTCCATCGTCGTCTCTTAAACACAAAGGTAACAATCCTGAAATGCCACAGGAAAAAATAAATCTTTTCTGGTTTGCATTTCATATATCAATCAACATTTTTCACTTTGACTGTCTTTAGTTCTTCAACTGATTCTACAATCACTCATCTTCCCACATCCTTTCCTTGACTTTTCTTAATCTTTCTATACAAGAAGTCAGAGCAGATAGCCAATAATGAAGAGTAAGAGCCTGACACACGAACTGGGGGGAAATCATCTTCTCATCAAGCTCAGCACTTTAACACTTCCCAAGGTCATTGCAGCGCTCCCTGCTGAGAGGCTCTGTCACTTTTAATAACTTTTAAAGGAAGCATATTTTCTCTCCTTTGACAGATTGAGGAGTAGAGGGACCAGTCATGGGCTGACTCAATCATAACGTGTCAACAGAGCGAGGACGTGCGAAGGGAGGAGACCAGCCTGCGATCGCTAACACTTTACACTGTTTACTCCATGAAATGTATCGCCACATGGAACAGAAGTGGGAAGTCTGTCAGTCACTGGCTGTTTCAAGTTGGTCAGTGAGCTGACTTCACGACTAGATCTCACAACTGTAACAGTCACTCACTGTCAAAATATCAGAGTTTTGCTTCTCGTTTCATGAGCCTGTTGAAATTTAGACTGACATTAGGCACACAAATATGAAAACTATACAGTTAAAGGGGTGGTATCATGTGTTTCCCAGCCACAGAGTGCCATTTCATAGCACAGTCCATTTCTTATGTATATCAAATATGACTCAAAATAAATTTGACTTTGAAATTGGGCCTCTGTCTCTTTAAGAAACTCTGACTCTTTCTGACACTTCACCTTCAAGAAATCATCACAACATGGCTCCTCTATTAACCCTTTAACAATGTTTTTGCCCGCGTTACACTGTAAAGTAGCTTGTGTAATTAGCTCAGTAGATTTGCTAATTGCTCACCAGATGTTTGCTAATTGCTACTGGCTAGTCTGAAGGAGCTGAGTGGGGGAGTCCACCGAGTGGTTGCCCCGGGAGATTCAAGGATTTTTCAAACAAGCATGAAAGAATTAAGGCAACATTCCAGGTACGTTTTTGATGAGGGAATAAAGTTATAACATGATGTAGAGGTCAAAACATCACATTTAACATAATACAGCCCCTTCAGATTAAATTGGTTTTCATTTTTTTATGTATAGTTTTTTTTATTTTTTTTGCCAAATAATGCCTAAAGTATGAGAACAGAGAGGCGTACAGGGTTATTAATATTTCTCACAGTCTGAAATGTAAAAACAATAACTGGATTTATAAACTTAAAGACATGAAAAAACAAACAAATATAACACCAAAGGCATATGCTGCATTCAGAAAGCACATGCATCTTTTTCTGCAAATGGTACGGCGGGTCTGGCTGCTGTGTGTCTGTGGTGTGTGTGTCTATATCCCTCCTATTGCATAGCTAAAGCCACAACAACCCCATATGTAGCTCAGGCAGCAAATTGGACAGGAGACCCCAATTATAAAAAGACATGAGGGCAAAGGTCAGAGAACTGCTGGCATGTTTACAATCCTACAGGAAACCTTCAGATATGAAGCAGGCCAGCAATTTCATCCCAATCACGGATTATGTGGATTTACCTTTTTGTCCATTTCAGAATTGATGACCAGACAAGGACAAAATTATTGCTTTTCTTGACCAAAACAGTTGCAATGTGCAATACTTGACATATTTTTGACATTGAAAACTAATTAATACATTCATGATTTTGTGCAATGTCCTCTGGATTTATCAGTAGTCAGAGTAACTCTTGTGTTTCACAGATAAGAATGCAGATTTTTCTTTCCCGTCAGCGGATCAGATGTAAAAATGTAGCGTCAAAGCATTTTCCGCTGTCAGAGTTATTGTTCTTCTGAGAAACATAAAAGGAGCAAAATAAAAGTTTGAAGTTCTTCACAGGACTGCAGAGGTCAAAATGGTGCATGACTGAGTTTAATTAGCTGATTGCAGACCCAAAAGTCACTTCATAGCCAAGAATTAGTGACTTGAATTTAAAACTTGATTTTGGCAGCAACTGGCAACCCTTGAAGGTCATTCAGCTGTTTCAGCGTTAATTACCCGGCAGCGCCTCGTACCTTACCCGACCGACAACAACCCGGTTCAGATCTATGCTTTGTAGTTCAAGTTTTTTTTCTTTGAAAAATTAATCAACTTTATATCAGATGGTATTTGTTCGAGGTCTTTCTGTTGTACCCCTGAGCCTTGAAATATCACTTATGCTAATTTATAGTAATCAGCCACTGTGTAAACGGACTCAAATAATGAGTTTTAACATGGAGGAGAAACATTTAGTCTAGATTTCATTTTACAATATTACTTTGACTTATTTGCTAGTGTTTATATTTGAATACTGGACTCTATGCTTTTGCTGCAGGTATTAGCATCATACCTGTTCCTGCTGGTCAAGCCATTGGTCAACCATAGGATGGTTGGCGCTAAGGGAAGAACGAAGCATGTCTCTGTGAAACTGAGCAGTCCAGCCACTCGCGTCACGAGGAAGACTCCGATAGGCTTGGGATCCCCTGCCCTGCCAGGCAATAAGAAAACGTAGAGTTATTGATGTGCTTCACTCCATCACTGTGATACAGAGGGAACTTTCGATGATAAAGGATTTGCTGGTAAAACAATAAAAGTTAGGCCCCAACAATCTAATAATGGGGCTGGTATAAATTTCTTGATCTAACTTTGACATCTGTAGCCAAAAAATAAAATAAAATAAAATAAAAAATACACCAAAAACTGTACATTTAAAATAAAGTCAGAGGAGACGCTGCTACAGCAATCACTGGATGTTTTTCTCTTTCACATTCTCTGACTTTTGCAGATTGGGTAATTTCATCCTCAACTTTTTCTGTTTTCAAAAGGAGTTTTCAGCTACAGGACAAAACGTATCCTTCTTCAGATGTCAAGAAAGGCTGACAGTAATATGACAAAGTTTTTGTGTTTTTGCGAGTAGCTCAAATCCATGAATACTTGATACCCCCACAAAAACACTTAGAACTGCCTATTTTGAATAGTTTGTTACCCTTTATATACCTTAATATGCATTACTACGCACAGTGGAAAAGATCTTAGCATGAGAGCAGAAGCTAATATTTACAGTCTTCCTTATTTGCCAATATGTGATGTTTGTTACTGGTTTCATAATTGGTGACTGGATGATGTATTTAAACTGCCTGGTTGCTAAAATGTGCTATACAAATAAAATTTGATTGATTACTTTCACTTTTTGAGGATACAGCTAATCAGTACCACAAACAGCTGGGGTTCACTGTACATATAGATCATGCTGGTTGTTTCTGGTGTGGGCAGCATTTCAGACAATCTCAGAGTTGAGACAAGAATCTCAGTGGAACGCAGTTTATTGTTGCTTACAGGTAACATGCTAACCATGGTAACTGCTACCAAAAGATGCAAGTGATGGCTATAACTGTCATCATCAATATGATTTTGTCTTGTACTAAAGTAAAGTTTTACAGCGAAAATGTCCTCACACAGTGTGACGTCACCATTGTGATTAACTTCCTACTATAAAAGGTTTTGAGTGCTGCTGATTATACTGTTTAATTCAGTAAAATGCAATATAACTGAAACATTTATTTCAGTAACTATTATATAGATTGACTACACACACTGATGTTTTCAAGCCTTTGTTTCTGTTAATTACGATGATTTTCTGCTTATGGTTAAAGAAAACATTTGACATTAGAATATCACATCAAACCAATTCAGAAACACTTAATTCATAAAAGTATGTCTAATACCTGCAAGCTTTACAAAAACCATAAGACTGAAACCAGCCGCAGATCAAACAGTTGAGAAAAAACACCAGGTGTTGGAAGATGCTAAGCGCTTTCTTGTTGTTTTTTTTTATACTGTGTCTCAAATAGTCCAGTTTGTTCATTCAAGTCCCATTCAGATCTGTCCTCTTTTCCCTTGACCTTTACTCATGGCTTTAGGGACTTTTTAATAGGAGTGCCAAATCTAAGCTCCTCCATTACACGAAAGAAAGAACCATTTTTGAAATATCTCCTGCTAAGGTAACATCAAACATCGGCAGACATCAGCAGACCTGAAAAGAATTAGATCTTCAGAATATTTTTATATTCCAGACATGCAAGCGTCAAATTTGAAATCTCAACAACTGAAGGTTGTAGATAAAACGATCAGCGGGCAGAAGAAAAAAAAGCAATTAAATATCAAAACCCAAAGTGGACTCAGTTGGTATAAAAGACATTAATTTAAGATTTGATTATTAAAAGTTTGACAAATTGTGGATCAAGAGGTTTAGCTATGTGCACCATGTAAGGAACACGTAGCAAAAACAAAGGCGTATAACAAAATCGAACAAACTGCGCACAAATGTCATCGTAAAACATGAGAAGGGAGGAAGTGTGAAAGATGAGGAGGTGCAAAGAGGGTGAGTTATGCTTAGCACGTCACTAAATGACAGCTAACAATTGTAAATAAAGAAATCAGACTCCTGACCCTTCCGTGCTTTGATAAAAACATGTGTTTTCAGCACAGCTCAATGTGCCGTGAAGGAGCCTGAGGAAGCGATGCAGACAGGACCATAAAACTCAACTGAACATGTGGAGCCTGATAGGGAGACGGCCTTAATAACCATCATGGTCTTTAGTCGCAGAGGAACAACTGACTCCTGTCCACAAACTTTTACAATGTAAAGGGAAAAAAGGGCAGCAGACGCACAATACACGCTTATTCTGGTGTGTTCACTGCGAAGAATCATTGTAAAGTGTGGTGAGGTCACTGGGATGTGATGACTTTACACGTCCAGCTGTTGACTGAGAACGTCCGTTTGATTCAATAAACTTAACTCAACTGGATGTGGGATGTGACCATTTGGCATTTTGTGAAAAATAAATTATTCCAAACAACTCAAACACTGTTGTTGTTTTTTTGTGTGTGTGAGGCATGAATCCAAATGTGTTTTGGCACCGAGAATCACTAATGGAGGTTATTTTCGAAACCTTTATACAAAGTATTTAGCATATGCTGACTGACAAAAAAAAATCCTTTTAGCACAGCAATGATACTGTAGGCACATAACATTTGATGTATGATAAAAAAAAAGATGATTATATTTAAATCTATCTTTATAGTAAATGCAGATTTACGATTACTACTCTTGATTTTGTCTCTGGCTCTACATTTTTCCTTGGTCTTGATTTTATCTCTGTCTCTGACATGTTTTTCTCTGTCTGGAGCTGCTTTGAGGGCTCTCTGTATATAATGTACCTGCTGTACTACAGAACCTTCAGCCACCCCAAAGTTTTTCACTTTGAAATTTTAAATCGAGCCACCTGGGTCTTTATGTGTTGACGATGAGAAGAAGAGAGGGATGGGGGGGGGGAAAGAGTGAGAAGCATTTTCCGGTCCGGATACATGGATGTTTTTTCTGTCTGTACACTCTGTCAGATTTATGGGACAAATGGAAAATAGTAAAACTATGTTCAGTACAGGAAACTGTACACAGAATACCGAAAGGAGACAATGTTGCTCAAACCAGAGATGAAAAGCGCCACCTTCCCAAAGTTGAGTTATGCTAGTCACGCATAACTGTTTGTCTATAGAAACAGAGCTGAAAGGAGATTATGGACTTTTTTTCCACTACTAGTCTCCAATGGTAAACAAACCCCTGATCAAACGCTGCAGACGTCCCAGGACCGCAACTGAAGATGTGACGCTTCCAGGCTGTTTGCCATGGCTAAAGGCCCCAGGCTAGCTGACCAGGAAACCAAACTGCTAGCCCAGCAGCTAAAGACTCTCGACATGACACTGCAAGCTGGTTGCTCACTGTTCCCCCACCTGGGCAGTAATTATATCTTAGGATGAACATTTTAAGTGTTTCCTGTAATTTTAATGTGTTTACAACTGTGTCCAAACGGAGCTGGGGCGCATGCTATAGCCAAAGCTAACCACAGAATTTGGATTGTTTAAACTTCTTCCAGGGAATGTTTCAGGTTTAACTGATCTTTTATGGGGTATTTTTCCTTTGCTTCATGCCAGGAAGTTGCATAAAATATCCCCAGAAAGCAAAATGTGGCTATGATCTACATATAGCTTTCCCAGTGGACAGCAGGTGCTAATAAACGGTTAATATGGTTACTGACCATGACACTAATAACACTAAGAAACTCAACATTTTGATGGCAACTATTTTGGCCACATAGCAGAAGGGTGTCAGTGTTGGTTCACATTTGAACAACATTTAAGCATTCCCATTTCCAAATCCACAATATGGATTTGGAAATGGTTAAACCGGAACTATGCAGTCAGAAGTTTATTAAACTTTTTGTTGTTTTGCCTTCGACTGAGACTAGACGATATCTTCCCATCTCGTTATTGTTACCCTAGTTGCATTATATGTTGGGTCCAGATTGAGGGGCTTGTCTAGAGCAGCATTCATGTAAGAACTCTTCACAGAAGTGTTACCTTTAAAGATACATTAGACAAAGAGCATGTAAGGAGCCTCTTGCTTTTGATTTTCACTCTGCATACAAGCTCCTTGCTGTAACAACTGCTCTGACAGTGTGAATGAAAGACCTAATACCCATGTCATCCCAGATATTAAACCACTTTCTGATAGCAACAGTGATATCTTTGACAATGAAAATGTCTTTGAATAGGATTAGACCCTGCTTCAAGACACGGCGATCACTTATGAAGTAGCTTTTTCTCAATTCCCAAGTTCTCATTTATTTCCTTTTTGATTGCTAAAATATCTCATTCTCCATCAGAGGTAAAAGGTCTGCCAGGACCTTGGAGAGAAAACCATTTTAAGATGTTAATTAGCTTCACGTCCCCTTTGGATCCAACACAGAGGCGATATCTGCGCTTTTTTTTTCTCACCTTACATTTATTATCAGTTTTAAAAAGCATTAAGAAAAAAAAAAAAAGGTAATGTGTTGAACAACTCCTGCCTTTTTATGGATAAAAGAGGTGCCATCAGAAGAAGCTGGTCTCAGATAAGGACTGTCTGCTACTGCTGGCAGTGTTTCGGTTTCTAACAGTTATTCTTTTGATTTAGGGCGGCAGAAGAGAAAAGGATGGAAATGAGGGAGACTGTGGGGAGACGGGAGAGTTCTGTGAACTTAACTAGCATCACACATGTCTAATTGAAACAACTTCAGAACATTTGGTGATCTTCGGTTAATAAGGTAGTGGAAAGATATAAAGCTGAATCAACGTGAACCAACAGGTGTCTATTATAAAGCACAGACACAAAGTGTACGTCTTAATACGGAGCTACGTTTGATGGCGTTCGTGTTCGTCTCGGTTTAGCAGTCAATGCTAAACCATTGTTACCTGTTGTTCCAGGGTACTTGAGGCGCCCCGAGGGTTTGGCTTGTTGTTGTACATCTGTAAACCAGCAGTTGTGGACCATCGAGACGGGTTCTTTCTTGACGGTTCGTCTTGACCGACCAGAGCCTCACCTGGAGGCAGGTCAGCCAACGAGGGATCGCTGCCTCGACGGACATTCAGCGACATGCCTGGAGCGAGGAAGGCAGAGGGACAAGTAATCAAAATATGACACGACTAAAATCAGAAGGAGTAGCTAATATTATGTACGTACACTCTCGCTTTAAAATTTCAAATGCAGCATCATTATATTTATTCATTTCATTATATTTACAACACTTTTTTTTTAAAGATAATCTTTTATGCTCAAAAGTAAATACCATTAAATCACCTTGCACTGATATTCCAGCTGCAAAGTCTTCTAGGATAAACTTTCACCAGCTTTGGACATGTAGAGAAAAAATGTTTGCCCATTCTTTGTGAAAAGCCCAAACTCAGTCAGACTGGATGGGAACCACACATTTTCTAGTGTTGTCTCAGAATCTCAATCGGATTGTGGTCTGGACTTTGACTGTACTGCTGGAATGTGAAGCTTCCCTTTGGCCTCAAGTGCTTTTGCAGACCCTAGCTATGTTCTCATTGACCATAAAATTGTGCAAATTGGAGATAAAATAATACATTTAGCTCCATCTATCTCTTCCTTCAACAGTGACCAATGTCTCCGTCCCTGCTTAAGAAAAGTATTCCCTCAGCATGATTACTCTTTGATATTTTTGCTGCATCTCCTAAATGATTTGCGACAATTTTTAAACTGTTTATTCCGGCGTTCTTTCAGCAGTGGTTGTCTGTTTGTCACTCTGCTTTGAAGCCCAGATTGGTTATGGTTATCCCGTCAAAGGGTTTTCCCTCCTTAGCTGTACATCTCTGCGGCATCTGTACAATCATAATTGATGTCTTTGCTGCATATTATTCATGGCTTGCTTGATTTGCAGTCGTGTCATCCTTTCCTTGGTCTCCGTGATGCTGTTTGCTCCCTAATGTTCTCCAACAAGCCACAGTCCAATTAAAACTTTCAAAAAACACTGATCTTCAACTTCAAGGTCATAATTTCTCAGCAAACAGGAGGCGAATCAACAGACTAAAAGAAGGTCTCGTACATTAATAATGTAAAGAAAGTTGCAGACAGGAAACTGTTTACAGCTGCATCACTTCCTGCAGCTGAAGCAGATTACCAACATTTGCTTCAATGTGCCTGAACAATGGAAATGGAAGTGCTTCAGGTTTCACATTAGATATACTGTACAAAAATTCATGGAGGACCATAACAGTATCCACAAGCTGTGCTATTAAAATACTTATTTAACAAGAAAATGAAAGTATGTGGTTTGTATATAGGGTGCAATTTTGTTTGCTCCTTATTTAATGTAAATGTTGTTTACAATGTTCTATCTAGTAGTGTGTTATCGAGTAGTGTGTAGCAGTCGTTTCGTGCCTTGGAATGGTTTCTGAAGCTGATGTTATTTTGAAGAGTGTTTGTTGCTACTGTTTATGTCCCACCTTCAATTTGTAATTTTTCATTTAACAACTCAGTCATCTTTGCAGCACATCTGTCAAGTTATCCTTGATGATGTACTTCTGGTAAACATCTGTTTTATTGTTTATTTTATTGTAATTTATCAGTTCTTTATTCATATCATTGAACTCTGAGTCAGCAGCTCCAACTCTTTGTTGGTAGGGTTTCTAACTTTAAAACAATTAAGCATTTTCCATAGTTTATTCTAATGTCATTCCTGGTTTTTGTGTGGCTTTCTTTAACTATTTCAAAATAAACCTTTTGTGTACTTAAATTACTTTTCATAAAGTTTGTAATTCATCATAGTTATGTTGAAGGCACATTTTTATGGCATCTGGAAACATCTGGACTTCTTAGCAACCAGATGACTGTCGTTTCCAGAGAGATTTGCTCTTTCTCTCGCTCTTTCTTTTTTTGTGTGTCTTTAAGAAAGCAATACTTTATTAACTTGCATGTCAAGGCAGGTAGCTGGCAGAGGGCTTCCCACAAATGTCTAATCTCTGTCATTATCAAAGTATTTCTCTGCGTAAAACCGTGCCACGCGAATCCAAAGGGCGAGTTTTAACGAGTGTTTTTCGTGGTTGCGAATGTGTTTCATTTATTTTATATGGTGACCACAGGGGTCTCTAAATATCTTCAGAAATCAGATGAAGAAAACTCAAAAGAAGTCAGCCAGCAGGCAAGTCACTGTGAGCTTACTTTACAGTTTAGGTTGTTGATCTAATAACAGGAAACAAACCTTTTCCCTTTCCAGTAATGTCTGGTTCGTGTTAAGACCAGGACTCTCAGCAGGGATGCTTAGTGAATACAAGCGCTGAAACAATGTTGATGTGTTAAAAGCAGGGGGAAATGAGCAGCGCACAAATTTGAGCAGGTTCCATCACATCTCTAATATTGCAATTTTTATGGGGTGTTCTTAGTCGGGAGTGGTTAGTATTATCAACAACAGTCCAAGCAAGGAACAATGGGGAAACTACGACATTGTCATTGATGCATGTGGGAAAGCTCCAACAAAGGAACTAGCTTGCGTCATTTCGCCAAAGAACCTGATTCTGATAGCTAGGTGTAAAAGTGCAGAGTGAAGCCGCACAGCTGCAGACCAGCTGATAGACTGGGATCAGCATGGGCCTATCAGATAAAAGCACAGCTGAACCACAGAGTGATGACAAAAAAAGTGGCCTGATCAGTGACATCACTTTTCTTTTTCAGTTTGCGTTACAGGGTGGTTATCTGAGGAACACATGGCATCAAGATGCACTGTGGGAAGGAGGCAAGATGCTCAAGCCAGTATGATGCTCTGTATCTTGCCATCTGAGTGGATGCTACTTTTAGACATCACGCCTTTAAAGCATTGCTACAAACCATGTACACCCCGACAGGGAGACAGTATTCCCTAACCACTGTGAGCTCTTTTAGGAAGAATATCTACCCTGTCATAAAGCCAAAAATTGGTCAGGAGTGGTGTGAGGAACTCAACAAGATGACTGAGGAGACAATATGGCATCTAATTTCTGCTTATCCCAATCAACTTGAGAGCCTGTTGGGATCTGCTGGACACATTAGTCCAATCTATGAAGGCCACAACTTACATTATTTAAAGAATATGGTACCAACATCTTGCTGGCAGATACCATTGACTTCCAGGAGTCTGACAGAGTCCGTTCCTCAGTGGGTCAGTTTGCTGTTTTGGCAGCCAAACAGGGACGTGGTCATCATGCCACGCCTAATTTGTGTTCTTACAAAAGGCTATTGACTTGCTATAGATAAAAAACAATGTATTTGCCAGAACACATCTAAGCTCAGGTACTAGAAGCTTTTTACAATTATTTAATTTAACAATGTAAATCTTACTTTATTTAATGTTACTGCCTCTAGAGGCAAGGAGGCTTATTGTGTGCAAATAATACTCTAAATATGATGATGCTTGTGATCTTTTGTTTCTTAGATTACTTTTATTGACGGCATTTCACATGGTGTTCCATGACATAGACATGAATCACCTTAAAAGCTAAAGAGTTCCATTTGTTGTACATTTACAAGACTTTTCTGTTCAAAAACACAAAGTCTCTAATATTTAGTTATTTGTTTTTGTTATTTATGGCTATAAGAATATCTTCCAAAAATCTCTGGAGAACCTTACACATAGACAGAGTTATGTGCTGCATAAACGTTGACAGAATTTCCATTTATGAAATCCTCCTCCTTAATAAAATTGTGGCACAGTTCTATAGCAGCTTTTTACCCATGATAAATAAAGGAATGTATTGTTGTTTTTTTCCATGTGTTGACTGTAAAGGAGGTCACCACATGAAGACTTCTCTCCCATTTTATCAAACCAATTTTCCTCTTTTTAATTTGTGATGGGATTATCCGTGCAGTCCAAAGGGTTTGGCTGGTCCCACGTTTAATATCCAGCACCGCCACTTCAGAGCAGGCCGGCGATCGATCCAGACTGAAGACGGAATGAGACAGTTGGGGTGGATGGCTAATAAAATGAGGCCCTAATCCAGCCCCTGTAGTGAGGGATTATGGTGGGGCAACAGGGTCATGGACATGTACACAAACTAAAATTTAGCAAAGAGAGGTCGGATTCTCCAGGGACTATTACCTCGCATTGCTTTGTCCTTTATTTAACTTTCACACAGAGGAGAAATTACCTCATAGGAATCACCATGGGATAAAAGCCCTGCCATATATATATATATATATATATATATATATATATATATATATATATATATATATATATATATATATATATATATATATATATATAAAAAAACATAAAACAGCAGGCTGCATATAAATACAAAATAAAAGTCTTGCTAATTATTTTTCAG